ACGCAAGTCAAATTAACACTAATGAAGAGGATTCCAATTTTCATGCTAACTAAACTCTTCTATGAGCAACACTTTCCTGCATGCAGGCTAGTCTATAAATGCTTATTTGAAGATATTAAGACCAAGATGTGGCCTCTGGTTTGGTCGCAGTCTCCTTTCGATTTATAGAAGTTGATTGGATAATGAGATTCAAAACAAGTTGTCTCCGAAATATTTATTTTTAAATCTTCCTTTTCATGCTAATTCCAGGAATCCTCTAAAAAAATTTATATCTAGCCTATCCTTGACGAGGGATAACTCCCAGGTTATCCCTGAAGATGCTCTTCACTTTGCCCCTACTTCTTTCCGTAAAGTACTATTCCTTTTAATTGACGCAACAATTTACGTGCTAGATAACACATTCTTACGACTTTTTAATTTGTGCATTATTATTATGATGAACAGTTAGTTTTATCCCATTTAGTCTAGAATAATCATTTTTGAAAATTTTCGATTAATGGGGAAGATAAGGTATAGCATATATGTATTTTCTTATTTTGAAGGATTGTCGTTTACTCCGTAAGGACGACCTGGCTGTGGTCAGAAATGTCAGTTCACCCCGTGTGCCTGAATTTGTGCAGCGTTCTCCTCGGCGTCTAGTGGCTTTCGCACATCCCTCTGCATCATCTAATGTGAATGACAGCTCATCTATAGGCATCACAACTCCTGGTATCCAGGCCTTGGCGGTGGAGAATGGCCGCGTTCATCTTATCGTTTCTCGCTCAGAAGATATCCCTCCATTTAGCACTGGTCTGACATCTCATCGCAACACCTATCGTCAAACGAGAGCTGGAACGTTACCAGTTCATTCAGCGAATAAGCAATCGAAAATGCTTCGCATGGATTATCTAATTTTCAACATGCTAGGAAAACTTATTTCTGGTCATAGAATGCCGGCATCTGCCAACGCCTTTCAAACTCTTCCACCTTCAGTAAATCCTCTTCACAGCCGCTCAGGGTATAAGTATCGTTTTCATGCCCCCGGAGGTTCTTTAGTTTGCCCGGCTGAGGTACGCAATTCTTTTGGTCACATGGCTTTGTTGAATGACTTATTTGTCCGATTTTGATTTTTAAAATTTTTAAAATTCATATCCTCGTTTTTAATTTTTTATTTTCGCACTGTTGGCCATTTTTTATTTTCATCTCATAAATTCTTAATTAATAATGTTAATGATGTCTTTTATGTTTGACGATTTGTATATCTTGGTTACCACTTGGATTACTGTCACTAGATTTTTATCTATGCTATTTTGACATTTTAAGCTTACTACATGTTGACTTTTCAATTCCCAATCTATTCAATTTTAGCGTCCCATGCTTTTGCGAGATGCCTGTGGCATCTTATTTCCTTTTATACCCCCCTCGCGCCCGAGCAATCAAGAGTCTTGGGCTCTACCTGCTTGGCTAGATCTGCCCCCGATTCGTTGTGCTGCGTTTGCATGGATAAACCTCTCCTCACATGCTGGCTCGATCTCTAGTTCAGTTGGGACTAGCAATGCTGGTGGCAACACAAGCAACTCCGCTGGTAGTGGCCAGGTCACGTTTGGTCTTCGAGGCAGCAACTCTTCTGTGGGGGCCAATCACTTATCAACTCGATCATCTAGTACTGCACCCGTTCCAAGCGGGCCACCTCGCCTCTTGGTTGGTTTCGTGGTTGTGCAGACACTTACTCTCATGCCGCATATTTTGCGTGCCAATGCTACTGGTGTCGAATCATTGGTAAGGGTAAAATATTTTACTTAAAAATATTAAAAAACGCAGTCTTTAGGATGTGCTTAAAACATTTAGATGCCATCTAGAAATTTTGGCTATTGGATAGTATATTATTACTTTGCATATAAGACTGACCTCCACTTAATAAAAATATCGTATAGGCTTTCTTAATGCATTTCATCTTCGACGCAATGAATTGATGCCAAGTTAACACTAAATGAAAATTACATCTGACCTTTAGATGTGCTTTGAGGACATACTCTAATTATACCTTGATCTGTTGTCTCTTTAGAAAAGATAATGGTTCACATACGATTGCACTAAGTAACGGTTACTTACTGTCAGAAAATATTTTTAGATAAGAGTTTTTTCCGGAGTCGATTTGAAGTATATATTGAATTAGTTATGCTTGCTGGTAAACTTAGAAAAACCTACATCGTAAGGCAGTGGTTCCCAAACTTTTCATAGTCGCGGCGCACTTTATCAATTAAAATTTTTCCATGGCCCCCTACCCTAAGTATGACCACTTGTAAGTAAGAGATAAAAATAAATAAAACTCGTGTATATTCATTATTTTTTTACTTTATTGACATTAAATTAATATTTATAATTAATGTGATGGATGAGCCTGCAAATCATCTCACATTTTCTCAAATTGAAGCTTTTACAATATTTCGCGGGGCCCCTGTAAAGAGGCTGCGGCGCCCAGTTTGGGAATCA